TTCTGTAATATGTGCTGCGTCTAAAGTTACTCTTCATCGAAGATGTTCATTTTTTTCTACGTCTCTGCCCTTATACAAGTGGAATAGGTTGGCTGGAGTGATACTTTTTCCAAACATTGTACATCATTTATATCACCGTTCTTTATCAAAAGCTACCATATGTTCTTATGAGCTACTCCCTAACACTCGGACATCATATACAACCAAGGATTTTTCTCTGAAGCCTTTATATCCCATTTTTAACGTTTTGGTAGCTGTACTTTGCCGTTTCCCTTCCCAACGCTCATCTACTATTTTTTTACTGAGGTATTAGAAGCAATCTTTAATTTCATTAGTATATAAGCTCAGGTTGTGTCTCTTACTGCCAAAAGTTTGGTTGAACCCGTGTTTGAAGATCTGGATACTGTGGTGTGGATTTTGTCAGTTGATTCCAATAGGGTTGTATGCATCTCTTCATAGTTCGGTCATTGCATTTTTTCTACACTGTGGCAAAACACACCAGAAAGTCATACAGGGGTGACTTAACATAAACACGTAGTACTGCATATGTACTGCAGTATTACAGCAACAGTGAACCCACCCAATAAAGAAATTATATTTAGATGCTGAGTCTCTCGCTTTAACAAGCAATGAGCGTGCGGTACAATTATCGTTTCTATGCTGTTTCTCCTCATCTTTAACACGCGAAGTTTAGGGTACCATTTTCTATTTTTGTTTGCTTACCAGTCTTGTCAGAAGTAGGGACCTGGGTAAGAACGTGATCTTGTTTACACAATAGAAGATTCAGTTTCAGTGTTTGAGTTGAATGATCTGTATTGTACACGTTAATCTGAGATTCATTTTCTGGTGTCATCTTGAGGTTTCCTATAATCCTGTCTCTAGAAACGGGGTTTTAAGACTTATTAATGATCTCTGAATTACTACCCCTTCCTCTTCTAGTCGTCCTTGTAGTTGCATTGTAAGTACCGGTGACAATGCCATTACTGTGTATGCTATTCAATAGACTAGAGTAAAATATGACACAATGTAAGAAGAGAGTAAGCGTGGCAAAAGTTTCGAAGGCGAAAAATAATAGAGATAAGTGACTATATGTTACATGAGAGTAGAACGTGAGATACATTTAAAATTGAAATTGATCCAAACTTCTCATAGTATGTCATCTACTATTAATAAATAAAAGATAGACTATCGAGAACTTTTCTACAGAAACAGGGTCACTAGTCCTACAGACGAACAAATAAATAAGATTGTAGTTACTTTTAGCATAAACCGTTTATCTGTAACAGAATATTAGAAGCTGTGAGAGTTACCAAAAGATGTAGCGTATGAATATATGATAAGTAGGATTTTGAAGTTAACAGTTTACACAGTTATAACTGCGCGGTTACCATCAAAACAAAGCGGCATCTCACCATTCACCAACCGTTCCCTTCTCTTAAGATAAAAAACTGTGATTTGTGTTTACGGTCAAACGGAAATAAGTTACAGACATGTGATGAGTAGGATATGCAATAAACACACGCTCATATAAAAATAGTTAAGGCTAATAAGTAAATAATTAACAAGGTCAAATGTGACCTGAGAAGAATGAATAAATCGGCCTGTCCGGAAACCAGAATAACCCATGAGGGCTTGGCATATGAATAGACATTGTAATGTGATGCCGGTTGTTTTTCCTTGAGGTAGTGGTTTTCTTTTTATGATTGTCATTCATTAATTACTACTAGCAGAAAGTTTCCATTAGTGGTTTTTAAGTCGAGATATACGTCCATATGAAGATGAGAAAGTTTTGCGAAGTACTACAATTGTGCTATATTTTCATCAATACTCAATTAAGAATTTGATTTTGAAACAATCAGGATTTAATTCTACTGTATTATCATAACAGGTTAAAATACATAACATAAAAAGTTTATTTGTACAACAATATTATTACTTACCACAGTCGAATAATGGGGGAATGCAATAAATGTTATCAATTATTTTATTTATTAAACCCCTCTTTCTCTAGATACTTTACATTTACAGTGTTCTTGGTTCATGCATCTAATATCTTTAACTACTCCACAATTATATTGGAAACAAACGTCAATAAATTATTTATATATATTGACAATATGTCTTAGGCCTCAACAAAGAATTCATTGTTCTTCATTGGTTCCTCATATTGTTGTAATTCATGTGAAAAGTGTTCTCCTAAAATCGTTTATGAACTATATCACTTCAAATACTTTAATCTCCTATGTCTGTCCTTTACATATAAGATTGCTGTCTGCATCAAACTGATCATGGCTGTAAATCGTCAAGAAATGTTACTTTAATCTAACATAAGAATATATCTCAACAGTAACACTGTATTATGAAAGTACCTTCAGTTACAAACACAAAGTATACATGGTAGCTTGACAATTCCTCAACAAAACATTAAAATTCAAGTTGTCACATAATCTACAGCAAGATGAGGACTATAGTTTATCTGCAATGCGATTGAACACCTTTTACAGTGCACGTATAGCGAATCAACACTGACCAAGTTGCTGAAAATGACATCGGTTTTATAAAGCCAGTCACTGACAGCATGTGCATAATACGTGCTAAGAGATGAGACACAATGAACTTTGTGAATGCTCCGCCAAGCCACGAACGAAAATGGACATAAAGTTCATTTCAACTGGTGGCTTTTCGATATACTGGGTCTGTGATAATCGTTTTGTGTACTACTAATGCATATTTAAATCTCTGTCAGCCAAAAACCAGATTAATTTACTCAACAACCAAAAGTTCACTCTGCTGATTATGAAATACTGATTTATCTTGCAAAGTTGTGATGATGAGACGACTGTTTAAGCATTAGCATTTCAACATTTGTGCATGGTAAACAGAATACTTTCACTATATTGGACGTCTTACTGATAACCGCTGGACCAATAAATAATCTGGCGTATGATCAGGTTCATCCTCAAAATAAAGGTCAAGACTGCATTTGCATATGAAGTTTACCATTGCACTTTAAACAAACAGAAATCAAAGATTTGAGGAGTTTTCCAGAATGATCTTTAGCTTTTAACCAAGAAAACTCAACATTAATGTATTTTCAGGATCTACATATCTAGTATCGATGATCGACATTCGCTCACAGTGAACTCATAAGTTGCCAATTTGTAAATTTTATTTCTGATTTGTAACTAAAATCATTCACGAATAAGAAGTTCAGGTCTAATAGGTTTGATGATTTTTTGTGAATTAAAATAAAACATGTTTAAAGCCAATTTAATCATACACAAAGCGATCCGATCCTAAAAAGAGTAATTTGGAAGTCGTAGATTAGAGTCCTAGAGTAGGTGTGACGGTATTAGCGACTAAATGATGGCTAAGTAATATAAATGCAAGACTTCTGTTGTATAGGAAAGTAGGTTTTTCAGGAATCGCTAAGTATTTTGATTATGTGTAAACGTTTTTTCCGAGAAATGTAAAGGAAAGAGGTATATTCCGATTTTACTAGTCATTTCCTCCAGTCAAATACTACACTTCAAGACGTTTTATATAGACTTCTGACTTATCGTCGGTCGAATATCTATCATATTGATTCATACTGTTCTTTAGCTGGACGTTAGCTTAAACAACTGTTTTTATTGGTTGTAATTAATGAAATATAAATCTTTAGATATGTCCAAAACTTACTTTACGAGTCACAAATACATCAGTGGTTGATGATAACATAAGTCCGTGAATTCGTGTCAACGGACTACATTCGTACGAACACGACAGAGTTATTTTCAGAACACAGACTTAGCTCCATAACAAAATACTGAATGCCTCAATCTCAGAAAGCAAAAAGATTACGGTGTACTTGATTTTGAAGAAGATATGCATTTATTGAAATCTCAGTCCAGTTAAATCCATAGCTACTCGAACTTTAGAAACTCAGTTTGTTCGAATAAATTGAATTACATATCAAACTAATATAGACGAAGAGACCAAGAAAAAGTGTTGAATAAAACATTAGGTAACTAACAGGTCTAGCGGTTCTAAGCGTTTTCGCAATACTTCGAGACAATAAGAATGAATCAGTAAAATATTTGTAGCTAGAGGTCGATAATATTCTGGGACATGTAAGTGTAAAGAGAACACGATCCTTAAATGGATGGTCGCATCCACGTAACATAAACTTTAGACCATTAATTATTCACTTAAGTACATATATATGCTTACTCTGTAACTAACATTTACTTTTGCATATTTTCTTATTGATAGAATTTACCGAGAATTAAATGTTTTATTTCCGTCAATACTCCACAGCAAAGTAGGATTATCCGTTAATTATTAATGATAGAACAAACGTAATATGTGGAATTCTTGTAGTGCATATTGATTATTTATATTAAAAGTTGAACATTAGGTTTCTAAAAGTAGCATACTCTTCAACATGCTTGTTAATACCCTGATTCAGTTTTGGTTGCGTTAATCAATCATTTTAAAAAGTTAAAAATTTGGCAATTAGCACATACTCAGTAAAGATGTTAAAAATATGTACTACTAGGAAAGAAAGAAGTTCTAACTAAATCGAATGATAATACTAAAGTGTTTCAACTTGTTTAAAATTGTATTATTAGGTATGCAATTGAATGAGAATAAAGTATACCAAGTGCAATAGCTAAACAATTTATTGTTTTCCTGTTTTGTTTTGTTTTGTGTTCACAAGACAACTTATTCATTAGGTAAGTATAAATCATATGCTTAGTTATACAGTCATATTAGTTTTTTTATATTGTGTCCTTTTAAGGACAATAATAATAAAATTAGCATCAACAGCAGAACGATAATATGACTGGTAATACTACTATGAACAATTAAACACTAATACTTTTATATATTGAGTTTATAAGTACTCATCTATCTTCTTTCTATCATAAAAGTATATAAAGCCTTACAATTCACATAACAAACTATAACGTCAACAGAATAAGCAACAACTACAATATACACCTTATCTCGAAATAATGTCAGAGGAAAAACAATGGACTGAAGTTTTCCACGCAATAGACAAAGACAAAAATGGGTTTCTTACACGTGAAGAAATCGCACAATGCTTAAAAGAAGTTGGTGTTTGTCCAAATGTCGCAGACGTAAGTGACCACAGTTCTTATTTTTAGTAAATGCATCATTTCCCCGTCTATCAGTAAGTTTCCATACGAAAATTTGAAAGTTCATGTTAACATTTGAATGTGACTAGCATTTAAATAGACATTTGGGAAATAGAATGTTGTACTCCATTTCAATGACTCCATAGTAAATACTTCATTTGTATAATAATATATTATATACAGACAAGAAGTATACCATCCCAAATTAATGGCTGATTACTGATCTTTACATGGCAATCTTAGTAGGTCCGAAATAAATTTCCATAAGTTACTGTTTGTGAATCAGTTTTCACTCTAATGTGAAGTTTCAGCTAGTGTGTTTCTATTTATTGCATGTAAGCTCTGAGTAAATAAAACCCCAATTTCGCCATAGGAAGTGTTGTCTTTTTTTCTTAAAAGTCATTACAGTACTCCAATCACTTGTTGAACATCTACAATAATTTGCGACACCGAGTTAATACTCACGACTTCTGGAAGTTAAGCCTTACATATTAGAGACTATTTAACCTCATGAATATTCAAAACATTAAATTTTTCTAGGTATTTAGTATGTTTTGTATCCTTTTCCTTACATGACCCGTTGGTGGCTATTTTGGTTAATTTATTCACAAAGCCGCGAGTAATCTTAGACTGAGTATGGTAAGCAAACAAGGAAATGCATGAAATTTCATTCTTTTGAAATCAACGTAGGTTAACCAAGAAAATTAGAGTAATTAGGAGGTTTTAAATATAAAAACAAATTCGGAATAGACTGTTTGACCTAATGGTTGTCAAGATAACTATTTTCTAATTGTTCGAAATGTGCCTGAATGTAAATTGCTCAAAGAAGACTAAAACGTTTATTCCTTTCAAAGAAATATATTTTAAAGTGGGATATCTAAATAACCGTAATTACTTTAATAAATGAAATTCCTTCTCTCACCAGGATAATTTTCAGAAGGATTCCTGGTGGAATAAAAAAATACATTTTGTTCCACCAAACATTTATTTTGGAATCCCTGACTTGAAAAACTAAACAAAAGAATGTATAAAAAAACGTTAAAATCATATTAAAACATTTAGATAATATATGGAATAATATCACGTAACTTTGACGTAGTTGGGCGATTTATAGCCCTTGTTTGTTTCGATGAACAAGTACTTTTGTTTTAATATTTCAATGTATTCGTATTTGAATTTACTTTTATGCTATGCTTGATCATGCCTGATCATTATGATTATGAACGTTAACAGTCTAACCCCGTAAAATAAAAGGATTTGCACTGTAGATTGTAAAACAACAGTTTTGTTATGACTACTAGAATAACAGTGCTTTGAAAATTTAGGTCGTTCGTATATATATATATATATATATATTCCAAGTTACCACCTGCCTCGTGATGCAGTTTGATGATTTCCGTAGTGTAAGTCCTATCCAGATGCCGCATGATTTTCTAATTTCCTCTTCAGCTCGAATTGGGTTGTTTTTTTCTCTCCCACAACAGACTGTTGCTGATGGTACGTGAACAACGGACATTCAGTATCTTACGTAAACAATTGTTTATAAATACTTGCACCTTTTTGATGATGGTTGAAGTAGTTCTCCACGTTTCAGCTCCGTACAGTAGGACTGTCTTGACGTTCGTATTGAAGATTCTGACTTTGATGTTGTTTGACAGTTGTTTTGAGTTCGACATGTTTTTCCATTGTAGGAATGCTGTCCTTGTTTTTCCGATCCTCGCCTTTGCGTCTGTATTAGACTCTCCTTGTTCATCGATGATGCTGTTCAGGTACATGAAAGATTCTACCTGTTCGAGAGTTTCTCCATCAAGTGTGATTGGGTTGGTGTTATCTGCGTTGTATTTGAGGATGTTGTTTATTCCCTTGTATATGTTGAGGCCTACTGATGCAGAAGCTTCTGCCATAGTGGTTGTTTTCACGTGCATTTGTTCGCGTGTACGGGATAGAAGATCTAGGTCATGTGTGAAGTCCAAATCGTCTAATTTCATCTAGGCTATCCATTGTATTCCTTGCTTCCCCTCAGATGTTGGGGTCTTCATAATCCAGTCAACCACCAAAATAAATAGAAAGGGCGAGAGTAATATATATTGTTTATGTATTATATTAACATTTGTACGTGTCTCTGAAAATCGCGTTTATTTTATGTAGAAAATAATCAAGGAAACTGATATGAATAGTGATGGAAAAATTTCCTTAGAAGAGTATTTGAATGCACTAAGAAAACTCCCTCCTCGTGAAAAGTGGTAAGTTTATTGGTACTTGATAAGCAAGTAATTTTTTTTAATATCTTTGAAATTTGAGCGCTTTTGATTGACAGCATAAATATAAAAGAGGATATCATCTGGTAAGAACCAAAATATAGTTAATAAGTAATTGCTAATCAGATTTATTCAAAGATGTGATATTTAATTAGCTGATAATAAACACTTTTGAAGAATTCACCAATGAGACTATACGTGAGGACACTTTTAGCCCTTAATAGACTATTCATTGATATCAGCATTGTACTTATGAGGATAGCTAAATCTCATAAATAAAATAAACTGTTTGTACTACCATTCATACACGACTCTAGCTGTTACTTGATGTTTGGAGGTTCATTTGCATTAAGTTGTGTACAGCATTACCTTTTATGTTTCAGTGATTTTTAGGGTAGTGATTCGACAATATGATCACCTGAGTTTTAATTGTTACCATTATTATTATTATTCATAATATCTTTCGACATTCAATCGTCTTACTGTCTTTATTTTAAGTGTTGCACGATGGAGAGAAGTGTTTCAGTCTATAGACAAGGATGGTTCGGGAAAAGTTTCTATCAAAGAATTGGATGAATTTCTAAAAACCTCCGGTATGGATATAGACCAAAATAGTTTACGTAATTGGATGACACAAAATGACAAAAACAAGGATGGTGAACTAGATTATGATGAGTTCTTAGCCTATGTACGTCAAACATACAAGTAATGTTTTGATGACTGGTTTAATAATGGTCAGATGATTTTTTATCCGTCTGTTTAAATCACTTCTGAAGTGAATAACTTATGTTGTTTCATTAGAATTAGAAGGTTTAATTAACATGTTTTTCAAATAATAATTTCTATAATTAAATAAAAATATTTTCTAAAAACAATTAAGTTCTCTGCTTACTCTTTTATAGATAGTTATGTCCCATGAACATGGTAATTAGTTTGGTTAAGATAAACCAAAAACTCATTACTAATCCTCATAAACTGTAAACGATGTAACTATTACACAAAACGCTGATTGTTAGTCAACTGACTGGGATTCATACAATTTTAGCTATAAAAACAATTGTTTATTTGTTTTGTTTGCAAATGGTTAGTTTTCATTAAGATATGTTTCAACAGTGGGAGGAGCATACTCTAGAAAATTGAAGTAGATATTATCACACAAGCGAAAAGCAAGGAAATTAAGCTCTCAATTATACTAATTTCTTGTCAGTTAGATGATTCGGCATTTGTTTTTCACTCACAAAAACAATAACTGTGATGTACACTATTTGTCTTTTATCGAAGATTAGTTTATGTTGACTGTTTATAAAAGTAAATTCACAGATAATTGTGATTTATAACGACAAATTTTAATTCAAGCTAAAATCTTCAATTCTTCGCGGAAGATAAACAAGACCTTGTTGGTTTATGTTGACAATTATACCATAAGATTCTCAGTGCCACAATTAACCAAGTACATTAATAAAAGCACTGTTTCCGAAACTCAAGAAACGTACTTACAAGTGGATTTATAAATCTTGAGCTTCTTTCCTGAGACAGTGTAATTTGAGAGGGTATTCAATTACGTACAAAGGACAGAGGTTATTGTTGGCTTCTAATTCCAGTTTAAAAACATAAGGCTGTATTGGTACTCTTTTACCTATTAATGATCAGTCAACTGGTAGTCGCACAGCTAAGTGTTCTCAATAAGGAGACTGAGGAAGAATTATACATATTTTCCCATGACATTTGAACAAACTTTGTTCGCATTTGATATTATTAGATGTAATGTTGATAAATTATGACTACTTATTGATATAATTCAACTTGAAGCTTTGTGATTATCTATTCAACACAATTATTAATTTAACAGTTACATTCACTGGTGGATATAAGCTAAACCACTATTGAAAGCCTGGAAGCACTGGACGACCGTTTAGTCTTGATATGGGACTCCTCATCAGCACGCATCCACAATCGATTGAAGTTGAACATTTACACCGTTGGATTCCTCTTCAATGGTGTAGGTGTTAAGCGTTCGCGCACGAGACCGAAGGTCTTGGGTTTGACTATCGTGTGTGGGCTCGTGGATGAGAACTGTTTTTAGGAGTCCCATACGAAGATGAAACAGCTTACATCGACTCATGAATTCAAGTATTGAAATACTGCAGTCTTCACAAACTTTCATAGTGAAAGTTATTATTATTGACACATCTAAAACAGGGATATCGTAGTAATCCAACTACGATTATTTGGATAAACCATCACTTCAAATTTGCACAAAATGCATGGGTTAGTTTCAGTTGGTGAAAAAAACAGAGGAGTAAAAAACTAAAGAGTTGATGATATTTTGCAAAAAACATGAACTCGTAAAATAGAATGTAGCTTTTAAGCTGGCGATGATAGCGTATAAATATCTTTGGTGCTTTTATTAAAAAAGGTCTGGATGAAAATAGCTGTTGAAATATAACCCTGAACCGTTAAATAAATAAGTTGAAAAGCTGAAAAATTTAGAAACAGACACTGTTATAACGAACATCAATGGGAAACTCTTTTCAAATGTATCAATAAAAATTTATATTTTTAACAATTAGGAAATCCAACTGAAAATTTCTTTAAAGGGGAAATCTCCCCCATTTTATAAAACTTTAAATTTATTCAGCATATTTAGATGCACCATGATCAAGAATAAGTCTTTTTTGGTTTTTATAATGTATTTTACTCATCGCTGATGCAAAACTCCAATTATTGCATTTAGACAATTCTTCCTTGGAATAAAATATTTGATCTACTTCAAAATGTCACCAAGCAGGATGAATATTTATCAAAGACGAACTGACTAAAAGAAAACTAAGGTTTTGATTCGGATGACTTTCATCCGGCTTATTTATCGAAATACGCAGGCGTTATTTATTCTGGGATATTATATTTTGTACGCTTCTTTTGCCTAATAGTTTACGGGTATTCATTATTATATTATTTACTAAAATCAGTCAACCAGCTTTACTGTTTTCAGTCATAGACAGTCCATTATTGTGCAATCAACCTGATGATTGGTTATTTGGAGAAATATTTTGTGGTATATATTTAAAGAAATGATGTCCAATCTACAAGCTTTAACAGCTAATAGATTTTCTGGAAAGAAGTATTATATATATATATATATATAGTATATCCACATATCGGTACCATGACGAGACGGTTAAGAAACGAATATCCATATATTATTAGCTAAATGTTATTCCAAAATATTTTACAAAGTGAACGACCGTAAACCTTTTCTGCATGTGTTGTTTCTACTCATCTGTACTCTTTTCATACAGAAAACCTCTTACTATACTATCGTTTACAAATTGTTATGAAAATGATAGCTGATATTCCCGCGGTTTTTGAATTTATCTTATTTTTAATTTTCTGTTAAGCCATTTTAGCAAACGTCTGTGAATAAGTAAAATTCGTCCTTGAATTCTCTCGGAATTTTCCATTGTTTACTAGCTAATTATAAACTATTACGGTACTTTCGATCTTATTATTTTCCTTTGAAAACATTCAGAGTACTATTAACCTACAGGAAAATACAACCAGAAGTTTTCCCAAAAAGTTGAAAGAAGATGGGTTTTGACCTTATTTGTAACTATAAATTGGAAAAAATGAGGTAAGATATTTCACACTTACAATGTTTTACTCCAAACTAGGAGAAACAAATATAGCTTCATGCTCTACGTAAAATGTATCGGATTATGTTAACACATTGAAGTGCTGTATTTAGTGCTCACTATTTTGAATCAATCATCCTAACTAAGGAGTTATCTGATAGACAACCAGCTGAAGAGTAAGGGATAGGGTAAAATATGCGTTCAGGATTCCACCGCTAGCTACCATCCACTTTTACTTATATACGCTTGTGAATTAATGGTAATATGGAGATAAACCGAACCGGATGCAAATGCTAATTGCAGTCCTAAATGTCAATAAAACATTTCAAACAAAATGTAAAAATTAGTTAGAGCAATATCCTTTTACAGAGCATCAAACGCTAAAATAACTAAAATTTGGGGTAATGTTCTAAAAAATTACTGACCAAAAAGACATGGCTAAGTAATATAAAACATTCGTATTTCGGTTATTTATTAGAGTCATATATTCAATAAATGGTACAGTTTTTCGTATGAAACATTAGGAGATTAATAAAAAATTCTATCTAACCACTGAAGAAAATACTGTATGGTTTAACACTCTTTAATAGGCTCACTTAAGTGGCCAGAGATACTATTATATGAGATTTTAGTCTGGTAGTAAATACCGATAGTAAAAGATGTTTTAACACAAACACGGTATGATGAGACCATTTTCAACATAGAATTAGTTAAATATGCATGATACATCAGGTTTATGTTTGTCTTCCCTCACTGGGTAATCACATCATAGATTATTTGGATACATTACAATCCATAGTATTGACTCATCGATGGAGAATAGCAGAGTAAGAGAGCATCATTATAAAACTGCTGGTCATTACATTGGTAATTTCTTGACTCACAACCCATGGCTGATTTTCTGGTTAATTGGCTACATCATATAACGTATCAAAGGCTATCAGTCGTTTCCACTTTTACTTATTTTTACGATGGATAAACTTTTTCAAGTAACTTTCACAGCATTAAATTTAAAAATTATATTTAAAATGATCTCAGTAATTGAAATTCAATTAACTTCAACGTTGCATTTGAATCTGGTCAGGTGGCTTCAGGAAAATAAGCAGTGAAAATTATCAAAGATAAATGGGGTTCATAAAAAGTCTGTATTGAGTGCTTGTTTAATCATGTTTAGATTTTGATTTGAGGATTGCACGAACATGATTTATTTGATCTAAAATGTATTCAAAATGTGACATCTGGTTGCTATTGACAAAAAAATCATAATGAATAAACAAAGCTTGTGGCTATAGTCCGTGACATGTTAGACGATTCTCTACAAAACGAAGGTAGATTTGGATAAATTAAGCTTATCGATGTAAATAACGATAGAGGATAGTCGGATGGTATACTGTAACGTTAATTAAAATTAACAGGAGATAATTACCAAAATGACGATTGATTAAAAGGTTAAACATATGTTGTTGTCGCTGTCATTGGAATAATGTTTCTAAAAGTATAGATAGGGTGAATGTTTAGAGGAATGTTTTTATTGATTAACAGATGCTATGATGTGATTTAATGTACTCTATTTGTATGGATTTACCCATATATATAGAGCGTTGGCTATCAATCTTTCCTTGGGATCACCTAAACCTTTATGAAGCAATATAGTCCCATCAAATTTAATCTTCTTCACCGTTTATAAGGCGTCTGGTACTAATTATGATCTCTACTTAAGCTTTTTGGGGTCTTTTGAGAATAAAAAAACATGCTTCCTTCACCCTTATATTCAGCTGTCTGAATGTCTCCCACATATACGTGGTGGAATTCTTTGTGTTTAATTTCATAGGCACTAACTCATTGTTTCTATTTTTGAATTATGTCTTTGACTTTCACTAATGCCGACGTAATAGCACAACCAGAGCGAAAATATACTTTATGAAACGTTTAATTAGAAGCCTCCTTACGTCCTTCAATGTTACTATACGGCAAGGAGTGACTAAAGTGTTATTCATCTCTTAGTAAACACTATGACTTTATTTTCCTTTCTTTTTAATAATCATTTCCAAAACTCTAAAGTAATTGTTTACACTAAGTTTAGGTCTTATTAGATTTAACTTAAGCCATTTTTCTTCTACATCCGTTATTAGATGATTACTCTTGTTTATTGAAGTTCTAGCAACTGTTGTCTTCATCAAAAGCAAACATGTGATATGCGTTCTAGTCGAACTTCAGAATGTACCGATTCTCAGAATATACTAATTTTCACATCATTTTCATATAGCCTTTCAATCAAACAGTGGCGAAACGCTATTTCGTCGTCAATGTATGTTACGCTTATCCTACTCTTGAATTCTGGTGTATTTTTGATTCCATGATCACTATGTTGTCATATGGTTTAGATACCCTAGGTAGGTACTTCTCTAGATTGTGTCTCGGTGTGTTTATAAAATCAACCACCAGTTTTAATAGAATGTTAGTCTTGCGAATCTTTAGTAGCCCATGAATATAAATAAATGGCTTTGTTAGTTTAGATGAAATAGATGATAAAATATAGAGTCTATTGGTCGCTGTGAGGAACAACTCAAGAATGTTTAGAGTGCGTTACTATTCCTCTAACTGCAAAAGATTTCTTCAATATCGATGTACAATAATTCCTAATCTGACAAAAGTTAGTGAACTAGATGACTACTTCACTTGTCTTCAAGTTCAATTGATTGTTGTATATAAGACATAGGCAACAACAATCTCGTCTCGTTCAAATTAGTAAATAAAAAAACTATATGAAATTAATTATATTGTTTACATAGATGGGAAAATTTTAATACCGAAAAACGCTTCTACCAAATTACGCTAGTACGCCATTCAGTTAATTCTGTTTTGTTTTGTATCTGTAAGACATGGCATTTGAAAATAAAAAGTATAGGCAGAGCGGTGATAAGAGATCATAGGGTTTTTTGAAAGATTACCTGTCGATATCTGGATCACCAGATGTTTATGAAACGAGTTAGATTCAGAGTACTGAATAAAGTTGGTAAATCAGTTGGTTAAGTTTTGGGGAACCTATCAGGTGAGTTGTTTGTGATAGATTATTAATGTATGGTCACAGCCTGAATCAATTCATCCTGTTCGCTAGCGTACAGTTAAATTAAATTAGAGAAACTGAACAAAACTGAAGCACAACACCAGTTCACAAAGTCATTCGCTTTAGATAAAGCACTATTAGAAAATGAAATCTAATTTAGGGTCAAAGATAAACTTATTCTGTTGCTCTGAATCAATTAAATAAGAAGGAAGGCGAGTCTCAAGTTTAGCATAATTCCCCACTTTCATTCATTTTTTGAAGGATTTTCCATGTATTTGATGTACACAAATATTTACATCAATATTTTGATCCCATCGCTTTTCAAAATGCAGCTTCACTTTCTGTGGGCTTATCTGAACTATTGTAACCTAAATCGACAATATACTTTTGACAGTTTCTTCATTATGTACGAATGTCTGATTTAAAACCGCTTTGTCGTCGTCTTTTTATTCTATTCACTACGTCAACAAATACTAGCTTGGTAGGATGACCACAATAGTGATCGTAATGTGACTTGATTACCCTTTTCTCTATATTACAAAATTGTAGAGAAAATAATATGTTTATCATTAAGTGTCGTAATGCGCGTTTTTGCACAATCATATACATAGATTCCACATTTTTATTCTATAGTTCTTTATAAACCGATGTCAAGTTACTGAAGTTCATAACGTTTTATGTCCCAAAACGCCGCTAGCAACAATGGGTTTCCAAGCATTATACCCTTTAACAAAACGAGAAGTTGAATTATTGATAATGATAATGGGCGTATGGTCCCTATCAGTTAGTTCGGAGGCAAATAAAATATATTACTAAAACCCTTCAGTCTGTGCATGGATTGAATCCTGTCATACATGTATCCAAAATGATACCCGAAATATTTGTTTTCTTATTCATGGTGTTGAGATACATTCAAGCATGAAGCCGTTTTTGTTATAGGAATATTTAGCCCTAAGTTTAGCTTCTATAAGCTCTGGAAATAACATTCAGTCGAATATGTAATAGTTAGGATTATCTTCGAACCATAGAATAGGTACACACAAACTTCGTTATTCACTTAGAGTGACTTCACCAAGCCCACCAGGACTCTACCATCTGGCCAAAATCCAAAATTAGAGTCCTCCTTTTCAACCAGTTTTAGTTATTCACAATTCTTCATATCACATTATTGCAAAGTGGCTAGTTTGAATCCTAGAACCTCTAAACAAGTCAGTTGTAAGAGGAAGCGTCAAAAACACTTTTGACTTCATATCCAAGGTTGGAGGTGTGATTGTTTACAGAAAACATATGATTTCTTTAGATTTCATACCTTTATTTATCAATTTATGACTGGTTGAGACAATCAAGTTTATATGTAAGTAAATATCAGGAAAACAAATCAGCATTGAGTTCCTTGAGGAAAGTCTTAATTAATTACTTATAAAGTGTACACTGAACGTTAATTTTGTCTTCATCAATATCCGTTGAAGAGACATTGATGGAATAGATATGGATACGCTTTTCGGTTTAATTTTAACTGATTCCTCAGAAAGCTATAGAATGAACCCCTCAACGAGTTAGTCGGCAAACTAGAACTATAATGTCGTCACATCGACGATACAACCATCATCGTAGATCAGAATAATGGCAAAGAAGAAGTCACTTTGACAGCGTACACTCTGGGATCACTTTTACTATCAAGGACGAGTGTGACAACAAATTAATTCTCTTTCACATCTTACTAAGTACAAGGGATGTCGGCTCCTTAAGCAGAAACGTGTAAATATAGTATAAGTACGCATACTTCCTTAGTTTTACTCCCATCCGCCACAAAAGAAATCTGATCAGATGTCTTACAAGCAGGAAAACAAATCTTCCCAGATGACGCCGTAACGAAGAAGTTAGCGTATATCAATAAAATGCTAACGGAAATAGACTTTCCGAAAGGCTTTTTAAAGAAGTTAAAATATACAGGGAAAATTGGAAATATGGACTGCTTGTAGGAAACCACTTTACTACAACTCAAAGGAGATGTAGCTACCGATGTCGTGTGACAGATTAGTGACGATGTTTATTATTACATAAGTATTTTCTGGTAGATCAGTAATATCTACTCAAACAAAGTATAAGCTATCTGAGCATGTTTATTCACTGTTCATTTACAAATCTCGTGGCTTCTGAGGAGAGAGCTATGTAGGGAATACTACCAGGCAACTTAACCACCAAATGAGCAAACGTCTCCCAGATTGATTCGGTAAGGATCAGAAAAAGACAACATGTAGCTCTACCTTGGTACACCTGGTTAACAGTAGTTCTATGATAGATAAAACCAAGTTATTTCAACCGATTTATCGTATACCCTTGTCGTTTCCCAATAGGGTTTCATTTCATTTCCTACAGATAGCAGAAGCTATAGGGAACTGAAACCTATAACCCTAGTTTGCGTACTCAGACGAAATTCGTGAAACTCATTCCCTTTCTCTCAGCGGTTATGACTTAGTAAATGATTTTACTGAGTATTCACATCCTGTATTTGTTTGCCATTCTTCTCGTCTTTCTGTTTACATTCTTCAATATCTAATTATTCACACACTTCATATTGCGTGATTTTAATTAACTCTTGCGATTATTATTTTAAAGTCTATCCATCCAAGTTTGATCTACTTCCTATGTTGAACTACTGACTAGAACTTTCATTAATATTATTATTATTTTCACTACTAGTATACCTGTCTTCATAACATCACTTTGTACTTCATACCTATTATGTGTAATCATGCGATTTATTTCATTGTAATCCTTGACTTACAAATTATTTTAATTGATTCAATATCTTCTTGTATCTGCATAAACATTAGAGTAAAGCTTGATGACGATTTAATTGAAAACAACGCTGATAGCTTAAGTTTTTTGTTTCAACTGGTGTTTACATGAAAATTCACAGCGCAAAACGATAAAATGAATGAAAGAATATAACAAGTGTTATTCGGTTAAAATAGAGGTGTAGAAATTTACAACTTAATTTATAAGCCCCAAAATGCCCTGGTACGGTCGAGAGTGGGGAGAGTCCGCTCTCCCTCTCGAAATGCTCTCGCATGGCCACGCGTATATAACCTCTGCCAGGGAAGTCCTATTCACTGACTTCTCGTGGCACTACTTTTGTTTACGAAATTGAGAGGACGAAAAGCGAATGTCCGGTGCTTTAACCGGGTTGGTGGACACGGTGAGTCCACCCAGGGGAGTTGGAAAACCCTGATTCCAAACTAATGGTGCACATGGGTTACAGTATCCTGAGGGAACAAATGGCGTATGAATTATTCGTTGGTCACCGGCTACCATGAGACTGCATCTCCTTACGATGCTCCACTGCCTTGTGGATCAGACCACTATGTCAAAGGCTCGGAGCGTGGCCCTTAAGAAAACCACCTGCTTTGGTTTGGGCACCTGGGCAGTGTCATAGCCCTCACACAAATCAAATGAGATTTGTGCGGCTCATATGTATTCGGTGCCCCTTTGTACCAATATTTATGTGTTCAAATAAATAAATAAATAAAATTCTGATATGTTTTGTTTATTTTAGTACCTTTCTTAATCCTGCACCCCTTTCGGCAATGTATATGTCTATAACAAGCATGGTAATAAAAAAACTAATCGTTTTCTTAGAGTTTATGAATTCGATGGTTAGAAATTTTCGGAGGAAAATTATAAAAATCTACTCGTTTCTTCGACTACTTTTGTACTTAGCAGAATGGTTCTCTGATTTGTTTATTATTATCCATTTCCCAGATACAGATCATCAATTAACAATCGAAATTTATTTATATTTTGAGAGGCATTCTAAACAAAACAGTTGATATAAGAGATTATTGTCAATTAGGTTTTCTGAAGGAGTATTGACATTGTGTAAGTTGCTTATTGATCTTACGGAATGAATATGAAAATGGATTACATAGGAATCATTATTTTTAGTTTCTTTTCTCTGAGGCAATACATCTATAACGTCAAATATGTTTTACGCAAATTTGTGTTTTTGCATCTCTGGTTACTTTGTTAGTGCGTTGTTTTATGTATTCATATTTGAGGAAAATGTATTAGTATACATTTGTGTTGTTCATGGAGATTCGTTTAGTTCGAAGACAGTTCATAGTGTGGATATAAGCAGGAGAACCATTGTAAGCTACGATGGATTGTAGAGCTGTTTTGTTATAGACTTTGGAAATCAACAATGCAGACCCAGTTCAAATATTGGGTTGAAACTTGAATAAAATCATACAGCCACTGAGATAGATGAAAATATCCATCAGTGAAAACGGATTTAGTTGCTATTTGGCAGCCGAATTCGGGTTTGAGGGGGTTGTTTATGTGTGAGATGGTGAGTGCAGAATGTCGATTAGGCCTAAACCGAATTAGCTTAAATAGCTTAATATCCACACCTAGTTCTTAAAAGTTCTATTATTGATACCAGTTTGTGATGCAAAAATAATTTGTCTAAATGAAATGGTAAACAAAATTTTTTAGATGTTTACATTAATTATGCTTTATTAGTTTACACTTTTGGTTTATTATGATACAGAAAATATTAATAAATACCAGATCTCTTAAATAAATGAATTATCGCTTCAATCCATTTTAATCAATGCTCTTTTTCCGATGGATATCATCAATATGATTTAATTGTTTGCAAAAAGTCATAAGAGACTAACCAGTGTCTCGTATGTCATTCTCATAAAACGTTTTTATCCGATTACTTGAGTGCATGTATCATTTTATATTTTGTAAACTGCTGGGCAGATGATATTGGAAAATAAAAATATCAAGTTTCTTTATATCGGTGTAAAAACATTGAGCGTTTACTGCCTATTAATTAAACATACCAATATTAATTGTCATAAGCAGCATTAGAGGAAAATTGATTCAAAATATAGATGTCTAGGAATAATTAAACCCATTCATATGAACAAAAAACTTCCCAAACGACTGTGATACTAAAATTAGGAGAGTAAATTGTAAAAGCATCACAGAGAGTACTATATATTTGTTATATATTTACACCGTTGAATTCCTCTTCAATGGTGTAGGTGTTAAGCGTTCGCGCACGAAACCGAAGGTCTTGGGTTTGACTATCGTGTGTGGGCTCGTGGATGAGAACTGTTTTTAGGAGTCCCATACGAAGATGAAACAGCTGTCCAATGATTCCAGATTTTCAATAGTGGTCTAGCTTACATCGACTCATGAATTCAAGTATTGAAATACTGCAGTCTTCACGAACCTTCACTCAATCAGTAATATTTCGATTTATTGTTTTATGTTTTCGGGAAATTCGTACTCTCTTATTTCGATAAAGTATTGTCACCGAAGAGAAAACATAAGTATCTCTTTTTTTCCAATCAGTTGTTAAATAATAATTGTCATGAAAGTCCCTCGAACAGACAAAGTAATAACAAAATAGTCGTTTTTCTCTCTTTTTACGCTTGAGATGTAATAGTTTTAAAGCGTAAAATTTCTGCTAAAAAAGATATGATGTGCTTTAAAGGAATTCACAGCGATTAAGCCAAATATTATCACGGTTTCATAGAAACTGAAAAATGTGAGCTCGAATGTCAACATAATTAGTTGAATTATTATCAGTGATTCTGACAATGTTTTCTGGATCTTCATTGGCTCATCCCTACTCTTTATTTCTAATGCAAAACTTTTGAAGAAAGCTTAAATACGATAAATTTTATCAAAATTCTACCTATATATATATATATATATATATATATATATATATATATATATATATACTGCTTGACTGTCTAATATTTCATACTGTGCAAAATGAATCTTGTTTAATGCCAGTATCCTGTTTACTATTAAATATTTTTCAGGCAAATAAATGAAGTTTGATCGATTTGTGTATTGGTCCTGCATCAAACAATAATATGGTACAAATTTTTGCATACGGGTTGTACTTATGAATTAAATCACTTACTACTTGGATCTTTAACTGAATCAAAATCTGATGTCTTGTTTTCTGACACAGTACCAATTAGGTTACAATGAAGTAGAGTCTACATTTTAACTTCAACAAGTTTTAAAAATTAGGTTTTGACTATAATAACTCCTCCTGGAGTGCTTCAAGGGATACTCTCGGCTCCATTCCCGAATGGAGGAGAAATATTGGGAATTTGGTTAGAAACCCCATTCTGTGAGGAACAGGCGTGGTGACCATTAGACATAGCTTTGATGTGGAAGACGTTATTATTACTGTTTCATAAATAATTGCCAAAACAAACGTATTACTCTGTTGAAGTTGAAATGATTCATTTAGTTACAAAAACTATTTACGTAATGGATATACATAAAACATACCTCAACAAAATCATCGATAAGTTGTTTAGAAATCGGTGATATGCAAAAAACCAATCATTTGTGTGTCCCAATGCTGTTCATACGGATCAGAATGAAATGATATTTAGAATAATCATGTTTATTCAATGAATTTGTTTAGCTTAACAGCTGACGTGTCTTGATATGAAAACAGTAACAAAGGATTACGCATCAAACTTCATTAACAAAAAGCTGACGCCGTTGAATAAAAACAAGTTTATATTTATCGAAAGACAGATGAACACTGTGAGAAAGCTAGGAATTTATAATTAAAGGCTATTCGATGTTACAGTGTGTGTATGAATTTTTTTCCTTTCTGGCTAACGAATATTTGAACTGTTCAACCACCAATAAGATCGTCAACACAAGGTCACATAAAACACGCAACAGCGTGGTTGGATATACTTAATTTAATTACATAACAAAGAAAAACTGGATAAAAATTGACTGGGCAGTCGCATTTGAACGAAATACGTAACAACTAGATACTTAAACGTATTCTTTTTCTCGAAATTTTGACTGATATTTAAAACGTTTTAAGATGGATGAAAAAATTTTACTTGATCAATTTCGTCAAATGGATAAAGATGGAAATGGGACACTGTCAAGAAGAGAAATAAGACAATGTATGAAGTTAAGTGGATTTAATGAAAAATTTCTTACGGTAAGTTATTCTATTTCAAAGTCAACTCTTTCACATGTTTTTTTATACATAAGATGAATTAGATTTGTGATATTGCATGTTCACCTCAATAATGATATTTTTCTTTGGAGAAATAAGTCAGTATTGGGCTCTCCTATACCAAAAACTAGTGTGTTAATTGTTGCTATATAGAATTTTTAAATACAATAGACATTTTACGTCAACAAACTAAAATAATTCCATTTTAAGTGCTTTTCTTCTTTTCTGGATGCCAGATACATATATGTTCGAAATTTCCATATGAAGGCTTTAACTGGATTTTATTAAGCAGAGATGGATAGTGGCTAGCAGTGGAATCCATGACGCGCGTTTCGTCCCATTTGGGACTCGTCAGCTGAATGTACCTGCACCTGAGAGTTGATGTTCTCTCTGGGACTCGAACCCAGTACCCTCGCTTCAAACGCCATCGCGTTATCCACTCGGCCACTAAGTCCTGATAGCCACTTGCTTGTGCGATGGGGTGAAGTTTAAATTCATTTAGTATTGCTTGTTTGAATCTTCTCATCGCACAAGCAAGTGGCTATCAGGACTCAGTGGCCGAGTGGATAACGCGATGGCGTTTGAAGCGAGGGTACTGGGTTCGAGTCCCAGAGTGAACATGAACTCTGAGATGCAGGTACATTCAGCTGACGAGTCCCAAATGGGACGAAACGCGCGTCATGGATTCCACTGTTAGCCACTATCCATCTCTGCTTAACATGCTTGTGAATTGAGGCTATATCGAGGCAATACGCACAGTATGCACATATGCCAATTAGAGACTGACCAGTTGCAGTCCTAACACATCGATGGGAAGTTTCAAACAAGCAATACTAAATGGATTTTATTAGTTTAAAATATACATAGTTAGCCAAAAGTAAGTCATTGCTTGAAACTGTATATTTATTCGTCCCTATGGTCAATATCTAATCCTGGTAACATTGCATTCAGAGAAAGTAATCACGAAATATCCAAAGCAAGACTGGCTAGATATACTAGACCTTTACTAAAGGCTATATTCGTTCTCACCATCCTCGATTTAACACACCATCAGCGCATAACAAATGAAATAATAAGTTATCACATGTGGTTTACATGTTGTAAACAAATCATTTATTCTCAATACATTTAGTTTAAGTATGTTTGAACTAGAATTAATAGAATTTATAAGAATTTACTCAATAAGAAAACGTTCATTAATGTATTCTGAGAAAGTGGAGAGTTTATAAAGTCAAGATGCTTCCCTAACTAAGTTCATTGTTTGTGTAATATCATTCAGTACAATAAAGTAACCAAAATGATGCATACGTTTTTTCAAAATGTTTGTTGATATAAATGTTGATTCAATCTAACTAGATAGAGTAGTATACACACAATAACCAAACATTTCTAAGGTACAAGAAAAATTTATACGGAGAGTTTACTTTCTTCACACCCTTACAATTATAACCGGCAATCGGTTCTGGAAGGAATTTAGAAATAAAGTGCTGTAAATTTAGACTGGATGGTATATTTGGTTTAAACTCATCAAAATAGTACAGATAGCCATTCGAGGAAAACTGAAATTCAAACAATAGTACGATTGTACAAGTCGTGGTTATATCTCGTTGGTTTCCTAAAAGTTCTTTCTGTTTAATTTTAACATGAATGTTATTTTTTTAAAGTTATTTTGAATAGTTTTATTTTTAAACAAATTCAATTTATTGAATGTACAAGTCAAAAACGAGCAAACCGCTGTTTATTAAGGCGTTCTGAGTTTAGCTGTCATAGTGTATCTCCAACCTTCGAAATAATAATAAATATACGTAAAACATCCTTGGTAAAATTTCATCCCAAGTTTAAATAATATTTGAAAATAAACTTGAAAGAATAAGCCAAATAAATATAACTAGTTTACAAAAATAATGATATTACGTATATTCTCATTGGTCAGAAATTTACATGCAAAATATAGGCGGCTAATTTAATATTGGAGTTATACAACAACTTTGAGTAACATTTGAATCCAAATTTTAAACGTTTCGTAAAAATAAATTTTTGTCGAAGAATTATTTCTAGTTTTTGAAAGAGATTTATGGGTATTATCATAACGAAAAAAGTAAATCAGGTGAATCTTATATAATCACAATCACTCGGCTCTGTGTGTAATAGACATAATACATTCAATAGAAATGGGTGTATTCGAGGTAGAGAAATACCTGTTTAACCAATAACATGACAAAGTAAGCAATTTAACCGGTTTAAGTTAGTTTAAGTACAATATTTATGTTGAATAAATTAACCCACGAACTTTTGGCTTCGGGATAACCCTAAGTAGATACGATATAGGTTACCACTCATTGATCGATATAATCCCACTTGCCGGTTCTACATAAGGTCAGCCACATCCCGAAAGAGTTCAGTCTTTTCGTCTCTTTAGCTGAGAGAGCAAGTAGTTCAAGTTCCCCTTTCTACTAAAATATCAGCTATCTCAAGCTTATGAGCATACATTTCTAGTAAGCATCCAAATATATAGAATATGTCAAGGTCTTCTGAATGACAGTTTGCAATCATTTAAGACATACATGTAATCCTTTCAGTCTTGCATATCTCTAAGTAAGCTCTTTATTTTCAAGTATTTGACCTATGAGCCAAAGTGTTTATTAAAAGTGACCGGAAAAAAATCACTGCTGATTATAATATAACTATATTCTGAGGTGTGAGACTTGAGGAAACTAAACTATATGATATCAATACTAATCGTAATCTTTCTGAAAATTCCTAATATGTAAATGAGGGTAAAATTTTCCTTATGATATCTAATCACATGTTTGGAGTTAACACAAAATTATAGGCGAGTATATATACTATATCTATCAGTGGATTCTGCAACGTTCCTTTTGTCCTGTTTGGGGCTCGTGAGCTGGGTTTAGCTGGGTACTATTGTTGATTTTCATGCTCAGAACCAAACTTACTACTTCAAAGTCCAATGTATTGTCCAATAGGTCACTGGGGTTTTGGCATGTGTTCATCCTGTGTGGATTGCTTTGATAACTCTAGTATCCCATTAGTTGTAGATAAATCCTTCACTTGTATTCAAAACCTTCGGTTGTTAGGTACGATATACTGAGAATTTAAACCTGTACTGAACATATAATTTGAATAAAACTGTTGTTAATATTATCATTATTGTTTAGCCGACTTTTAACAACATTTAGAATATATGAACTGAAGGATTATCAAAATTTGGTCCTGAATACCAACGACGGGATAATACAAGCCTTAACAAACATATGGAAAGTATTGTCATTTTCATGAATATTTTGAGTTAACCCAACTTGTATGAAATTAACTTCATCCTTGTTTCCATTCTTTGTTTTTGAAAATAAACAACATACACAACAGGAATTTATCGAAACATTCGATTTAGATGGAGATGGTGAAATAACTTTAGAAGAATATGAAAAAGTACTAAATATTGTTCCGAAAGAAGAAAAGGAGTAGGTACTTTGTATCAAGAGGATATATTATTCGTGCCATATTTATTTTTTCCATTATATTTTAATGTTTTTATATTCTTGAAAGTCAGTAACTTTTATGTCAATTAATAATTATAGTTGACCGATAAGCGAAGTGATAATGCCTGTGGATAGCACAAACATGGACTAAACGTTAATTGAATCGAGGCTTACTCAACAAAATATACATAAGAAAGATTGTATTTTGTGGTTTCACGTAAATTGTTCATGACATGTAATGCGTGTATCTCAGGTTAGCCAGGTTGAGTCGGCTGTATATGTTTGATTTTTCTGAGCGTTATAATAGACTGAATAAAAGCCGTCTATATGAGTGATTTGTGAGGTTTATTTTAGTTTTAAAATAGGTATCATTACCAAGTTTTGATTTGATAATTTCAAATCCATTGAGCATTGTGTAGATTGCTATAAATAAATAATATATTTGTAATAACATGACATTCATTTATTCAAACCTGTTTTATGATTGATCACATCTAATATTCGTGTTGTTTCGTTTTTTGATTGATCACCTAATATTCGTGTTGTTCCGTTGTACTATTTAAACTTGGATTAATGTGAATTTGGTTATTTTTTCTCTGAAGAAGTGGCTTACACTGAGTCACGAAACGTCGTAAAATCTAGTTTTTCGACTAATTGGGATATTACAAACATATTAAATTTAACTATAATTTTAACATAGTTATAATCATGGACTGACATCATAGTTTCAGAACAACTGTTTAGTAGTTCCTAGATTTAACTAATTGTTCAACTGTTATCCGTCACTGGTGAAACTACTTCGTTTTATATTACAAAACTCATTGAAAGTGTGAAAGTTACGAGAGAATTCAAATAAGTATTAGGTTTTGTCTCATTATTTTGTTTATAAAGTTTTGTTTCTTTTTCTTACAGGGCAGCTGCTTGGCGTAGTATATTTAACTACATGGATAAAGATAATTCTGGGAAAATCTCTGTTTCTGAAGTTGTAAGTTTATTGGATGAAATGGGCTATGATATACAAACAACTGAACTCAATGAGTGGATGAATAGGAATAAAATTAACAAAGATGATGGAATGGATTACCAACAGTTTTTAAATTTCATGCGTCGTAATTAAATTTCTTTGTTAAAAGTGTTTAGCAGAGTGGTGACTTATTATTTCACTCACTGTCATGATTTGAAGTCACCGAATCACTCACAGTCAATCATTCTTAGTAAAAATCTAATAACTATATAGTTAATTTGGGTTACCTTTTGGAATTGTGAATGTATATAAATACTCAAATACAATTTACATCTTCAATATGACTTTTTTTTACTTAACAAACGCTGATGAAATCAACCCATGCATGAAGACGAATTTAAACTCGAAGTACATAGACTTTCCAAAAATACAAGTACAGAAACTTTGAGATTATAATTAGACTGCATGATATTCATATTCAGTAGGGTCAATTGAAACTCAGATAATGATAATGAATTTATGAAATTCAGTAATATGAGAATGTTTTGACAAAAATAAAACACGTGGACAGTGATAATTGGAAATATTATTCAGTCATCATGACTTACAGATTCACATCGATCAACCTATAAGTATATTCACATTGGATTTATAACGCATTGTCAAGGCATTCAAATATTTAGGTTTCATTGAAAAAGAATAATTTGGAACTGGTTTTACATTTAGAATCCGAAATATAATGTTTATCTTTAAATTCAATATTGTTAATCGCGATGCTAATTCAGTTCTATAATGTTGAATAACAATTAAATCAGGAAATATAAAAATGTTTTGTACCTTTTCCCAATCTAGAAACAAACTCTTCTACTGGGGACACCCTATATTTAATAAACATTTTGTAACAATTCAACAGTTATTAAGTGTATTGCAAATATTGAGAATTGAGATAATTAATTATGCTCGGACCACTCGTCCCACAGCAGTAAATAAAATTCACCTTCTTTGGTCCTTTTATACTCTCTTATAATTCGTTTTCTTCCCCTTTTCTCAGATTATATAATTTACACCATGTGGTACACAGCTCCATATGGAAACAAAATGGAAAATGGAGAGTTTTTTTCAGTTGGCTTAGAACTTCAAAAGCACGCCTTCTATTGCTTTCAACCGTCTCCAATCAACTTTAAGTGATGCCTTTTGAAAATTATCCTTGATACTTACATAAAATTGATTGGGACATTTTTGTGTTTTTGTTATAGACAGAACAATAATCAAGAATATAGCTTTCGATCTACTGAAATAAAACATTTTATCGTCATCACAGCCAGTTATTTTTTACACAGATGTATTCAAACATTATAAGCCAGATCTAAGTTTTGTTTAGAGTAAATGCTCCATAGGCCAAGCCAAATTAAAACATTAGACTAATGCAGACCTATTCATGGCAAATAAAACAACACCTTAGTAAGTATTATGCGTTGCATTATTTTTATTATAGTAATAAAAATTTTACCACGTAGTTGACTTAATTAAAGATTTAGATGAACATCTGGTTTTCTTAAACCTTGAAAACGTTAAGTCAGAAAACTAGTATGTATTATAACTAACTGATTTCGGTAGCTATCATATCAGAAACCTTTAGGTTTCATTTCGATTGTAGTGCAAAACATTAATTATCATAAGAAAACCTTTCACAAGGAGGATTTCTAAACCTTGTCCGTTTAACAGAGTTGTGTTTTAAAATAAAAGGCTTCGAGTTTTGCTTCAAGATACCTACTTGCCTTTTTTAACAGACACTACCTGACACTAGATTTTCAATGGTACTTAGTAAGTTTGATTACGATGGTTATCATTAGCTTTTCTTGCAATAACTTTTTATCTAATAAGTTTTGAATTGTGAAGCGGCTTTAAATCACTATATTTCTTTGTAAATTATGCTACTTTTGTTTTTCCTATTTGTTTGGTATCGTATGAGGAAGTTATGAAGTTAATAATTCATCCATTAATTCATAATCAATGGCAATGAGAATATATCCACTTTTTTGGATGCTATTGATTTTATAGTTGGAATTGTGAGTCTCCACAAACCCCTTTTCTGGTATTATTGATTCACTTGAAAGAACAGTCTTAATTTCATCTACAGAATGAAGTGTATAGAAGTATTTTTGAACAATTTAACAGATAGATTCATTTAAATAGATATTATTTCTTTTCAGATTTTAAATATGATTTATAGGTTAACCTTCCTAAAACTAGGATAGCCAACACAATCTTCATGTCTGAGTAACAAGTTTGGAAATTTGTGACGCTTGAATCAAGTGATCACTTACCGTAGCACAGAATATACATTATCATTCGTCCTTTTATATCACTAAAACTGAGCTTCAACATTTTGCGATTATTAATTATGTATTTTAGATGGTCTAAAGCAGTTATGGTTAGAGATCACAGGCTAGAGTAAGATCTAGTTAGGGAATTCAGTCATGCTCTTCTTTAGCTAGTAAAATATATTTATCATTGTTGAAAGCGTGAGTCAATTGAAGCTAGACCACCATGGAAAACCTGGAAACACTGGACGGACGTTTCGTCCTATTATGGGACCCCTCAGCAGTGCGCATCCACGAACCTGCTCTCGCAAGCGGGATTCGAACCCAGGACCTACCAGTCTCGAGCCGAAGCCCTTAACCGATAGACCACTGAGCTGGCATCCAACGGTGTTAATGTCTAACTTCAACTGATCCACGAAGTTGAGCAACCATTCACCAATTGTCTTCAGTGAGTTCCTATCTCACAACAAACGTGGTTTTGAACTCCACTGGTCTAGCTTCAATTGACTCACGCTTTCAACAATGATAAATACTAAATCTCCACAAAACCCCTTCTATAAAATATATTTCTTAAAAACCTTGTAAAAGATAATATCGCCACAGTTGCCGATATAATGCTACCTAGCATAACTGATGTGTACTGTTGGACACTGTAACACAACAACTAAGCAGAAGCATTATAAGCGAGCCCGAAGTATAAGAGCTGGTTTGTATGAAAAAGGTTAACCAAAAATATTCTGAATGATACGGGATTCTAAGGATTATTTTCACCATGATGTGATCACAAATTCCTTTCATTAAGCCTATAATAATTTGCTACAAGCCGATAAACAATGTTCACATTACAACATTTCATCAAAAAACATGTAAGCCAGTTTTCAGTGGTTAGCTGAGGTTTTCTGAGAGAATCGTCAGTAATTTGATTTAGTGAGATCATAAACTGCATTAATAAATGACCTACTAACAAATGTCTTTGCACATGAATCTAAGAGTTATCGGTTATACTAAGGAACCATAGCATTCTTTATTAAAAATAATCTAAAACTTGTTTTCAGCTGGAGTCGCGTTGATCTGACTCTAAATAACAATTATTTGTTTCAAAATTCCTAATAAATTGCAATTTTGTTTGCTATTCGAACTCTATTTTTCTGTGACTTTAAATTATTTCTTAGAGGCAACGTAACCAATTTGAATTCCTTCCTAAACTATGCCAAAATTTCTCGTCACTGTGCAGTCCATGTTACGTACCATTTTATTACTCATTGAGCTACAAGGGGTCAAAAGAAAGTTCATTTATAATGTTTTTAAAATGCTAATTTACGAATGACAGGGTTAATGAATTTATGCAAATTCATTCAAATCTATTTTTATCTGGTTCGTTTTCATGTTGTTCATGCATCATATTACCTTCTAATATTCATTAGTTTATGTAATTGTACTGCTCATGTAATGTATTTATACACTCAATAATTTACATCTATCTCTGACATACAACCCGTTTTATCATTATAATCCTGAACGTACAGTAAATTCAATTTAAACAAATTTGCTTTTACCTACTTAACAGGTAGTTGTAGTTTAGTTAAATTTTACTGTTAACTTTTTTTGGAATTTAATATTCAAAGTTAACTGTGTAATGGGATTTCAAATTTGTAAACATCACATTTTCTCTTTGAGTAAAGCTAAACCTTTTTAATACCGGTTCTTGATTTTGATTGAATGAAATAGAATGCCTGTCAAAAGAAGCTCATTTAAATACTCCTGTTAGATTTTACAATGGTTTATTTAGTCTAGGAAATCGTTCATACTATACCATGACATTTTATATGACTGAAATTAGTGCTATTAAGGTAGCAACTGACTTTCCTAATATTCAAACACAATTATTCTACATATGTGATATAGGAAAAAATCTACCACCATCATCATGATTATGACTATTCTTTTTACTGAATATTTTTTACAATTTTATTCTAGACTTTCTCAAAAAAAGAACTTAAATCTTGATTAATAGCCAATTTCCTGTTATTAATATAAGTTTATCAGAATTGTTTTATTACATAGACCTAATAAATGAATTAAATTATTTTAATAGAATTTACTGATGACTTAAAATAGAGTAAAATAAATAACAACGAAATGCGAATCGGTGATTTCCAGATTATTAGCTTAGAACTTAAATACATATTATCCGATAGTCAATTGCTTAGAATTCTCTGATGTAAACACTGATTAAAACGTATATTAACATTATTAACAAACTTAATTTTACAGTTAAAAGTTTTCAAATAGCGTCTACACTGTTGAATACTCTTAGTTTCTTCAAACGCTCCATAATTTTCGTCATTACACTTTCGCAAGTATATATTTGGTAAATTCTGCGTACACATAACAAGTACTTATTTGGTACAACGTAACATCTATATGAAATCTATATGAAAATGTAGGCACGGAACTTATTTCATGATTATAAATAAATTATATATTTGTAATATCCCAATGAGTAGAAAAATTAGATTTTTTGACGTTTCGTGACTCAGTGTAAGCCACTTCTTCAGAGAATAATAAATATATAATTTATTTATAACAATCTACCCAATGCTCAATTTATTCAAAATTATCAAATCAAGACTTGGTAATGATACCTTATTTCATCATTCTTCCTAATGATATATATTTTGGTATGCAAACGCAACCTTTTAGGTATGATTAAAAATAAAATGTATAGAGTCGTTCAGATTTTGTTGTAATAATGAGTATTTCGTTATGGAATATTGTAATTGGATCATAATGTCTGTATATTTTATTTTTTGTGTAAAAATCCAAAAC